GCATGTTTATTTTTTGTTTATTGTTGTTTTTTTATATTTTGCCAGCAATCTTCCCTTGTGCTATTTTCAAAATCAGCAGTAAAATCAGCTGGTGTGTAGATTGATCGACATAGTGTGAACTTATACAAATAAAATGTCAATAAACTCTTGTCAGGCCATGGCGTATGAGTGACATTTCTTGATTGTCGCTGTAGTTGAGTTCCTGCTGTAACAGTACAACAACCCACACGCATGCACAAATTTATAAAAAAAAACCGACTGCCGAAATATGCCGAATATGCAAACTGCGGCGTGTTCGACAGTTGCGACGTTAAATTGTTGCGTGATTTCTAATTCTTTAAGCCATGTCTTTTTGTTTTTTTTTCCAATGCAATGTTTTTTCAATATACATGTGATATTTTATGCAATTTTGTTTAAGTAAAACATTTGCTTATTGCCGATATAATGATTGATATCCAATTCGTGCTGTAAATTAAACTTGCGAGCTAATGTTTGTCTGTTTACACGCGAACTAGTCACTCACTCTCTGAGATAACAAGCTGAAATGCTGTAGGCAACCTTTTCTCCCACTATAGCTTATAAATAGCTGTCATACAAACTAAACGTTCAAAGCCAAGTCCTTGTTTGGGAAGCTTTTTTATTTAATGAGGTATATTCACGGAATTCGGTATGAATTATTATCGAAGACAATGGTACAATCTCCGAAGAAATTTTTTAGATCGCACTACTATAACATATAGTTGTCATACAAACTGATCAATAAAAATCAAGTTTTAGTATGGAAAACGTTTTCATTTGATTAGATATCTTCACGATATTTGGCAAAACTTATTATCAAAGGCTATAACCTCAGTAGAAATTGTTCAAATCGGAGCATTATAGTATGTAGTTGCCAAACAAATTGCTCGATAAAAATCAAATCTGTGTATGCAAATATCTTTATTTGACAAAATATCTTCAAGAAATTTGACTTGGATTATTATCCACGGCAATCTTACAAATTTTGGAAAACATTTTCAGATCAGACCACTAAAGCATATAGCTGATATACAAATGGCTCAACTAATTTTTTTATTTCTCTTATTTAGCTGCACTTAGACAATAAAGTCTGCGACAGTTTATTCGCCATGCCTTTCCATTCCGTGTCACATGTGCCTTAATCAAGCTAAGAGCATTCAACCATGCATTTTTCTGCAGTTTCTTAGCTATAAACACAATCAACCATACATTACCACGTTGCCTTTCTTTCACGCTTTGCCTGCTGCTTAAGCCTTGAATGACTTAAGCGGTATTCAGCTGCAGCAGTATTGCGTCAAAATTCTGCAAATGATTTTCATTCACTTAGCGCATATTGCTATCTGTGGGAATTACTGCTGTTGCGCCAGCTTATGATTTTCTCGCTATGTCAATTTCAAGTACAATCGATTTTCCCGACATACCCACACTCCCACACACACACACAAGGCCATGTTGAGCTGCAAATGTGCCAGCAGACAGCTGTTCGTATAGATATTGCATATTTTCTACCACAATAAATAAGCACTATATCTTATCTAGGCATGTATATATACAGACATACATATACAATTGAGTCAATGCGCGCTATGTTGTTAAATTGCTCGCTGCTATACGCCCCCCACCTCGGCTCACTAAACTCTGAGCTTCAGCAGGTTTATTTTTCTTTCTTTCTTCTTTTTCATTGGCTTTCTTTCAGCATACCGGTTCAAATATATAATACTTTAAGCAGCGTCTACAAGGTTTTTCTAGTCTAAGTAGTTGAACAGAAATGCTGCATACTTTAAGGCATTAAATGTTTTGCTGGCGCTACTGAATATGGCGCGCGTCTACTGAGAATCGTCAGCGATTAAAGTTCATGACCTTTCAGCATGCTCTGGGGTGTTCAGTATTTAGTTATGTAAGTAGGTGACGTGGAAAGCTTTTATAAGATGGAAATGTTCACTTCGAAGCGATGCAGAACGCTCTAAACAGTGCGGTCGCCCAACCTTCTTCATTTGCTATTTGGGGGGACAATTTATGTTTGTTATGAGAGTTACCATGCTATATTTGACAAATAAATAATGATATTAAGCGAATGTTTAGTTATTTATAAATATTCAGCGCCACCTCGCGGTTGTATACTTTGTAAGCAATTTATTTCACTTAAACTTTATTTCGAAGTTTTAGTTGAAATTTATAAATATTTTGTTATTAGTACCATTTACCGAATCTTCATATTATTGGTATAAAAGAAATTGCGTAAAAAATGCGAAGATGCTGGAAGATTTTACGAAAGGATAAAAGGATAAATAATTTGACTTTAGCGAATTATATTGGTTAAATTATTTCGTATTTTTTCGTAAATGGTACACACCTGTATTCGCTTACGTATTTTTTACAATATTATAAATATAAGAAGTTTGATTAGAAATGCGAAGAGACTTTTTCGACTACCCAATATAAAGTTCATTCAGAAATAATAAATAAAAGCTTAATCGGAAACCACTTACTGGTTATGTAGCAAGTTCTACAATGGTTAGTCTGCTTATGGATTTTTATAGAAAAAAGACTAAACTATAAACAATAAAGAATAAAAAGAATAAACCTTTACTATTTCTTTATTTGAAGCGCAATATATTTCCATGTCTCGAATCTTATGCAAGCTTCTAATTAAAAGTTCCAATACAATTTTTAACTGCAAAATTCTACAACGACTACAAATTCTTATATATGTTTATATGCTAGAACATAGAAATTTTAAATTCACATCACTAGCTGCCAAAGACTGCCTTCGGGTGCATTGTAGCCTGTGCCATTTTTGTAAAAGAAGCTAAAATCCGAAAGCCTTCTATGCTCTTGCATTGCATCAGCGATTTTGTAGTCTTCCTCAGTGCTGCATAGACTTTTGTACAGATTACTGGATCCCGACAGGCATCTAGATGCAGGGCGTCCAAACTTGTATAATCGCTTACCCGCTTGCACGTCTTTCGTATAGAGACAAACCAAAAGAAAATATTTATTCGATTTCTTCACCCATTCCGATGCGGCACATCCAACTTGGTTATTGCTATCAGTAATGGCACGACCGAAGAAGTCGACATGTCTGAACAGAAACGACAAATAGCAAAAATACTTAAAAATTACGCTGTATGTGGCTCACTTATAAAAAATGTAAAAATATATATACATTTTTCGGCTTCAAAAAAGATGAAAAGCGTTGTACTTGCTCGTCTCCGGACGCACCATAGAAAATTTTTTGAGAGTTTTTTCACTGACCAAAAGTACGACGAAAGTGAATTCACGACTATCACACAGTGGCGAAACTGGTTAAAGAGTAGAGCATGCTCCTTCCTTATATACTTACCTACTAACTATACATAATATGTACCTACCCGGGTATATCTTCTGGAAAGTTAGCTGCTATTTCTGCTGTACACTCTGTCGCTGTATCCAGCCAATTAACTACGCGTGACGACACCAATTCCTCGAATTTGACTTCTGTCTTCTCGTACTTGTAAATATTTGCACTACGTCCCGGATTGCGTAATGTTGGCGTTGTATAGCAATGCGGATCGCTTATGAGACAACGTCTTACACTATACTCAGCTAAGTCGGCCAATTCCTCATCCCAAAATAGTTCACCCATACGCGCAGCGGGCGGTAGCAACTCTTTCTTACCGCTTGCCACAAATTCACGCCGCTCATTGTGCAACTGTAATATGATATGCTGCATGCCATCTAATGATAAAATCTTAGTGTCTTTCGGGCAATTCGCAATAAGTTTCTTTAAAGAAATTATAATTCTTATTAATAGAATAAAGAGTATTCATTATATCTTCCTGCTCACCTTGTCGCGATTGGCGCAAACAGCATGCTGCATTTTGGGTTTTGCACAACCAAGTTTGCAATAATCGATGACAGTTTTTGAAGCAACTTCAGTTGCCATCATGAGCATATTTAAAATGAGAAGTTCTAACAAATTCATTTTGCTATTTTTAATCTGCTCTCCGCAGGTTTAGCAATGATTTCGTAATTAGTAAAGCGCTCGCCGGCTCAACCGAAAGAAAACTGAACGTGAGCTTGTAAAGGTTGCAAGAATGAAGTTTAATTGATTCTATTTGTTTTAGTAGTTTATTTAATTACACATTTATTGTATTGAATTTCAATTTTATTGTATTGAATTTCACTTCCAGTTAACTTTTAAACAGCTGTGCTTTCCGATTATATTTCAAGCTTCACTGTATTCAAGGCAGTACTGAGTTGATTACCACACAATTTTTTATTAGTGAACTCAAACCAGCTAACTTTTAAAGAAATTTTTACACAAAACATAACTCGTATTTCAGAGAAGAGTTGAATCGTGAAACTATAACTTCGGCTGAACCTACATATAGCAACAGTTATAATACCATACTCGTATGCATTTTTATAACCGAAAAGTGAGTCTAAAAATACCTTAAGCCTGATTTTATTTGCTCAGTTTATATTGCCGTGAGCTGCTTAAGCTGCTTGAGCCATATGTAAAAGAATCGTTTCTGGTCACTCCCAAGTGAATGGCCCTCAGAGAACTTTCATCACTTGCGTGAACTTCAACACATGCCTCCATTCTTCGACTCAAATCACGGTAGTCATTTGTATACAATGTACATACTTTATAGGGTCTGTACCATTTCCTTCTGAGTGTTAGATGTTGTTTGTGGTAAACTAAAAATACCTCCTTCAAGTTATGTCAAATGAGCTACTACTTAGTTTTGGTGGAACTTTATGAGAATTGGTGGAATTATAACCCATATTTTATAAACTTCTATCTAAACATTTTTCTATTTTTTTTGATAGAGTTATGCAATAATAAATACAGGTTCACCAGGTTCTGTATAGCTTCCAACTAATAAACAATTATTGAAATTTTTTTTATTGAAATAAGTACCAATCCAAATATATCAAACATAAAATATACCTATAATGCAGTGTGTAAGTAATATATTAAGTAAACAGCTTTCTTTTCACATCACTAACTGCCAAAGACTGCCCTCGGGTGCCTTGTAATCTGTGCCATATTTGCGATACGAGTTAGAGCCCGAAACGCTTCTACGTTCGTGCATTGAATTATCAGTTTTGTAAATTTCTTTGCTGCTGCATAAATTTTTATACTGACTACTCGATCCCGATAAGCAGCTCGAGGCAGGTCGTCCAAATTTATATAAACTTTTACCCACCTGCACGTCATTTGTATAAAGACACACTAAGAGAAAATATTTATTTGATTCCTTCACCCATTCCGATGCGGCACAGCCAACTTGGTTATTGCTATCAGTTATGGCACGAGCGAAGAAGTCGACATGCCTCAAAACGAAAAAAGGTTAGATAACGATGAGAAATATTAAGGTTATATATTGTACTAAAGGTTCGAATTTCAGTTGCGAACACAGAATCAATCTACGACTGGACTGGCCCTAAGAATCTATGATAGCAGTTATGCTCCTTACTCACTGTATACCTACCCTTGTGTTTCCTCTGGAAATTTCGCAACTATTTCTGGCGTACACACTTTTGATGTGTCCAGCCATTCAACTACGCGTGACGGCACTAACTCCTCGAATTTGACTTCTGTTTTCTCGTACTTGTAAATATTCGCACTACGTCCCGGATTGCGTAATTTTGGCGTTGTATAGCAATGCGGATCGCTTATGAGACAACGTCTTACACTATACTCAGCTAAGTCGGCCAATTCTTCATCCCAAAATAGTTCACCCATACGCGCAGCGGGGGGTAGCGTTTCATCTTTGCCGCTTGCCACAAAGTCACGGCGTTTATTGTGCAATTTTAATATGACAGACTGCATATCATTTAATGAGATGATCTTGGTATCCAATGGGCAATTCTCAATGAGTTGCTTAAAAGTAGCAATAATAATTTTTAAGTACATTAAGACGTGCATTACGCTTTTCCCACTCACCTTGTCGCTGTTAGCGCAAACGGCATGCTCGGTGTTGGGCAACGCACATCCGAGTTTGCAATAATCGGTATGAGTTGTTGGGGCAGCTGCAAATGCGATTATTAGTGCGTTACATAATAGAATTCCTAAGGTATGCATTTTAAAAATTTTTAGGCTTCTCAGGCTTAATAATAGTAATATGTAATCTTTTCTGTAGAAGTAAGAAGCGTTTGTTGGATCGATCAAGTTTAAACTAAACCCACTCAGGCTTTCAATATTACTTCGGTTGTGTATAAATGAAAAAATATTTTAATTAAAATGTGTTTCTTTATTATTTCGCATACATTTTTTTGATGTCTACTTCTCAACATACCTTTAAGCAGCTGCTTTTATAGGGTTAGCGAACGATTCAAGCTATACTGAGTACTAAATAATATTGAGAATACACTTTTTGTGCATGTTTGATGAATTATTTTTATTGTGTAGTCGAAAAAGTCTTTTGGTATATCTAATCAAACTTCAACTTATTTTTTTATATTTAATGAATCAAATATGTAACATTTTGGTCAACCACTTTTTGCCATTTTTCCATCAGTGTAAAACTTTTCTGGTTTCTCGGCGAAAAATGCGACATGTAATTTTCACAGGCTTTTCTTGAAGCCAACATTACTCTATTAACGGAGTTCTGTATTGACCGAAACATCAAAACTTTCCAGCCAAGCTCTGCCAGTTTTTGGCGAGTCATGAAAGATGAGTATGGTCTAGCGTTTTCCTGATGGGAGACGAACCCCTTTCTGGCGATCAGTTCTGGCCGCTTTTTCGATTGCTTGCTTTAGTCTCATCAGTAAAATGTAGTATCAATCAATGGTTCGAACTGGCTGAAGCAGCTTATAGTGAATTATTCCTTTCAAATTGCACCAAACTCTCAGCATAACCTTTCGAGCCGTCAATCCTGGCTTTCCGCCCATTTGTTGAGCTTCAATACGCTTGGACTATGTACTGTTTCGCACATTATTGTCGCTTCACTTTCGGTCTCTAAATCGGTAGTATCCAAATTTCGAGTGTCGTTGTAGCCAGCCTTTTTCAAATTGTTCAAAACCGTTACATGCTGAATGACAAAATACGAAAAGACTTTTTCGACTACCCAATAAGTATGATCTCTCTTAGAATAACATATATCTGAGTTATAGGCGCCTTACTTCGAAGTATCAGCGACACAGTTAATCTCATCGCAGTAAAGGCTTTAGTGCCATTTTTTATTCAAATAATCGAAATAATCAAATATACCATACATAAAATATATATTATAATACGTTTTACAAAAAAATATATATTTTTAATTTGTTAGTCTCTCTTCAAATCACTAACTGCCACATACTGCCCTCGGGTGCATTGTAGTCTGTTCTACCTGCATTTTTGTTAATCGGGTTAAAGACGGAAAGCGCTCTACGTTCGTACTTTGCATCAGTGATATTGTAGTTTTCATGGATGCTGCATAAATTTTTGTACTGCTCACTATAGCTAGTTAAGCACCTCGAGCCAGGTCGACCAAATTTATACAAACGTTTACCGGGTTTCACGTCATTCGTATAGAGACAAACTAATAGAAAGTATTTATCTGATTTCTTGACCCATTCGGATGCCGCGCAACCGACTTGATTATTACTATCCGTTATGGCGCGACCGAAGAAGTCGACATGCCTGAAAGCGAAAAACGAAAAAGGTGTTTGTTTCTCAGATAAAAATGTAGTAGCCTTAGTTATGTATTAAGGGAAGGGTTCGTAATTTTGAGCCGCAAATGATGAATTGATGAATAACAAAACAATCTAAAATCTTTAGTAGCAGATATGTTAATTGTTTAACTGTATATAATAAGTACATACCCTTCCGGATTCTCTGGAAAGTCCGCTGCCATTTCCGCTGTACACTCTCTCGATGTTTCCAGCCATTCAACTACGCGTGACGGCACTAACTCTTCGAATGGCACTTCTATTTTCTCAAACTTATAAATATTTGCACTACGTCCCGGATTGGGTAATGTGGGCGTGGTATAACAGTGTGGATCACTGATAAGACAACGTCTTACACTATACTCAGCTAAGTCGGCCAATTCCTCATCCCAAAATAGCTCACCCATACGAGCAGCGGGCGGTAGTCGTTCGTCTTTGCCGCTTGCCACAAAGTCACGTCGTTCATTGTGCAATTTTAATATGACGGCTTGTATGTCATCTAATGGCATGATCTTAGCATCAGGTGGACAGTTCTCGATTAGTTTCTTGAAAGATACAAAAATCACTATAAAATATATGATAAATGAAGTGAACTGCGTTTATGTTTTACCTGCATTCTGTTGGCGCAGACAGCATGCGTCTTTTTCGGGTTCTCACAGGCAAGTTTGCAGTAATTTGTGCCGGCATTAGGTTCGTCTCCTAATGCCAGCATTAGTGTATTCAGAATAAGAATTGGTAAAATATTCATTTCAACAATTATTATTAAGTTGTTGTAGAAAACTGTTTTACTTTTACTTCACAATATTGCAGAGGAAGTGTGTCTTCGTAGCGTTTGTTAGCTCAGTCAAATTTAAACTAAACTCACTCAGGTTTTAAGTTTACATCAGTGGTTTATAAATGAAAGCATATTTTAATTAAAAATATGTTTGTGTATTATTTCTGATTATTTACAAAAATAATTACTAATTTCTTGAACTCCACTAACATTCTATATACTTAAACAGCTGCATATTTAGGGAACCATTTAAAGTATTAAACCATTATGTAATATGTGGCATTCAAAACATATTGTAATGCGATTAACATTACTTACTCTTCTTCGTTAAATTTATTATTAAATTAGACTTGAGTAAGAGTGATGCTATTAAGTCAATATTAAATAAGTAATTTTTAATTTTCGAAATTGTGTTCTTAAGAATTTCTTTAAATTCATATAAAGTCCTGAATTAAATATGATATCAGCATATCTGGATTTCAGCGCCACCTATTGCCAAAAAAGTGCAGCGGGAACTGAGGTCGATTCGATGTGGGGCTAGTCTTCCTGCCAGCCTACTTTTCCATTAATTTTATTTGCTGTTATGGAAGTGGCATTAATGTAAGTAAAAAACTTATAAATAATAGTCGGTAGTATAGTAAGTACGTCGCTCATATGCTTGTTATAGCAAATTCCAATTGAACGCATTTTTCGAAACTCTCCATCTTAGGTGTAACCAATTATTAAGTTATATATCTGATAAAGCTATCTGGTATATATCTAAAAATATATGGTTATGACTAGAATCGATTTAGACTTTCACTGTAGAGCTTAAACATAGCAAGCAGAGAAGTGACAAAACGAACACGACTATTGATATTTGATCTCCACCATACATTGTTTATCCACGAGTTGAACCCGTTGTAGAAGTGTTATAGAAATGTTGCATGTGTATTTATACTCTGCGTTAGGCCTTCAGAATAATCATAATTCTCATTAATACTGCATAGGTTGCTATATAAAATACTTCGTTTTGAGACACATTTGCTGGCCGGTGGACCCACAGAATATAGTGGTGAATTGTTTTTCAAATCGGTTGCATAGAGACAAACCAGCAGAAGCGTTTCATTGGCAACTTTGCTCGTCCATTGCGACATGGAGCAACCAATGCGATTATTTTCCTCTTGGATAATGTGCGCGGCGTTCAAAACTTTTCTATAAAATTAATGAGGATTACACAAAATTAAAAGATAACAAAATGTGATTTTGTGCTGCTTACTCCGCAAACGGTGAAAATAAATTCTCGAAGGCGTTGGCCGTTTCATTGATTTCCTTAAACCATTCACCAATTTTCAATTTCACATTAGCTGGCTTGACTTCACTTTTGTTAGGGAATTGAAATATTTTGGCAACACGTCCCGGATTCGGCAGCAAACCAGTACGATAACAATACGGATCACTAAGTCTGCAAAGTTTGCTACTAAAGACGGAGAGAAAACCCAATTGGCGATCCCAAAAGACTTCGCCCATCTTATTCGCCTTCGGCAGTTTAGCTACGCGTCCAGCTGCAATTATATTGCGCAATTGATTATGCTGGTCTAGTAGGAATTTCTTGTAGCCATTCGTATTCATGTTGAGCATTCTAGTCGTTGGTGGACAGTCGCCGCTTAGTCGCTGAAAAAATTCATTTTTTTTTTGTTTATAAAGTTTATAATTTTCGTGCACAGTAAGCACTTACGGCATTCGGGTTTATGCAAGCGCCGTGTTGCGCTCCATTTTTTAGACACTTTAGTGTACAAAATAAATTTTTTGTCGAACCAAGCACAGTTATTGCCAAGACAATCAAGCATAGACGAAACATAGCTGTAATTTATCAGGGTTAGGTTAACTGAAAGCAGAAAATTTTAGAATTTTATTGAACTAAAACGAAAGTATTTGTTGTCATGGTTTCGAGTTGATGGTCCATGGCTATTCACGCACCTAATTACTATCTAACTAATTCTTCGGCTTTCCGCTTCAAGTTGAACTACAGACTGTCTGAGCTAAGAGCCTTGTCTGTAACTGTACTACAGACTGTCTGACTCGTGCCTTCATTTATTTAGCTCAATATAAGCCTCATGATTGTTCATTTAACATAGCTTGGCTGATTTACTATATAAATACATATGTATGTGTGACTTTATATGTTGTTTTAGCTGTAATGTGGTTTTGTCAAAACATTTCTCAAACAGAAGTATTTTTCTTTAGTGTTAGTTTAAAGCGTTCTACAAAGAAATAGTATGTGTAAAGAAATATGTGTACTATATTTATTTTCAACTTGAAAGATACTTCTAGTTGGCTTATATTACCCCAACAGCGTTTTTTCAGAATGTCGCCACAGCTGGGTTTTTACAAAAATACTTATGCAAGGAATGTTTCAAGTAATGTCCAAGAGCTGCAAATGATACGAGTTGTGATGTGTACATATGCTGTATTGTATATACATATATTTATGTCAGTGGTTGTAAGAACAAGCGTTTTCTGGCTTATGAGGAAAGTGTTCTATGGGTCATTCTAAACAGCTTTGCCTGAGAAACTATGTTTATTGCGAAGTCTGAAAAATCAGAATACTCGGTTGTATGAGAAATATGCGAAATTGTTGTCCGATTTAACAGATTCCGTAGTAACTTTCACTGATACCGGTTTTAGACTCATAGTCACTAAAGCAAAGTTGTTCAAAATGACCCATAGAATATTTTCCGCATACGCGATTTTGCCGATTTCTTTGACTCCCTGTAAATCGACCCGATTTAATGTGCGATATTGGATAGTCGAAAAAGTTTTTTTCATATTTCTAATCAAATAACGTAATAAGAAACTTAAAATCTCAACTGTCCAAATAGAAAAAGAAAGTTTTACGAATAAACCGTGCGAACAATTTTCCTTTGAACATGTGACTATAGAAGCAGTAAGAGCTTAATTGTCTTCTAATGAACACATAAAATACACTATGCCATGTGAAAACTACACTTATGAACGACAAATACTACATTATGAGCAGTTAGAGAGCTTGTTGCTTATTTCCTTGTCCTATTTGCTTGTATAAAATTGTGATTTACACATATGAAAAGTGTTATTTTTGGAGGACAATACCATTTAATACATACATAAATAGATGCTTGTTTTTAGTTAGATATTTATGGTTGTAATTACCATGTATGTGTATTGTGTATTGCTTACATAAGTGGAAGCACTGTTCCAAGCTAAATACGCATGAAGCAACAATGTACACAGGAAATACACAAATCTAAAATTGGGAATTTCGCTCTGAAAACGAATGCATAAAATATCTAATTCCTATTTATAGATATATATAATTTTTAATTAGTATTTAACTGGTATATTTCTGAACGAAATCTGACAGTTGGTATACTTATTGCACTTATTTAAATTTATTTTTAACCCATTTAAGGTACACATGCTTATCGTACTGGAATCTCCCAGCTCAGTCGGTAAATTTTAATCAACTCAACAACCCTTGCACCTACAAACACATACGGAACATTAAACTCAAACTTTTGCGCTTGTAACTCACTTGCTCTTTCTTGTTTTTTTTACTTTTCTACGAATTCTACACTCGTACACAAATATTGTTCCCTTGACGTTGATAATTTCAACGTCAAAGGATTATGTTTTYACAAGCATGAGTATGGTGACACAGATAGAAGCGGGCATGAATATTTTGACATGCATGCATATACAATATGTGTTTACGATGTACGATGCGTCTGCAAAGACATGCATGCCATTGACTGTGTTCTACAGTCTACTGTGTCCCCTTATAACATCAATAATATTTGAAGTACAGCTCAGAGCTGTAGAACAACTTAAACCTTGTGCGCATCCAGCTGGATGCCTTTGTATTCGAAATATTGGGTAGTCGAARAAGTCTTTTCKTATTTAGTCGTATATCTYCAGTGCTACCAATCACATTGAGTCACACCGTATAGCAATGGAAAGGYGAAATTCGAGGAAGTTGAAAAACACTTACAGTTATTCAAAAATATAAAAAGCGGAAGAATGTCACGCCAGCCACCAATGAAATTTGGAAAGTTTACGGAGATGATGCTATATCAGTTCGTGTAGCWCAGCAATGGTGCGCTCGCTTCCGTTCTGGAAATTTCGAAATTTCAATTTACACTGATGGAATAAAGTCTCTACCGGAAAAGTAGAAGAAATGGTCGACCAAAATGGTTATTTATTTATTAGTATAAATATAAAAAAAWTTTAAGTTTGATTCGAAATACGAAAAGACTTTTTCGACYACACAATATATAATATGTCGTTTTCGGGTATTTTAGGCAACTGTAAGGTGGGCCGATTATTGATACTTCGAGCAACATGTGTCATGATTATAAAAATCCACTGCACTTATTTAGCTATAAGCCATTATAATAGGTAATCACCACATACATAATACATTGCAGAGCCGTTTGTATTTATTATATTAAGCTATTACGACTGAGCCAAAAMGTATGCTTCATTGAACGTTGCGCTTGAATAAACGCTAGCCAGACGCTTGAACCGTTAAATTGGCAGAGTGGTTGTTTTGGTGTTTTTAGTTTYGGTTTTTGTTTTCGCTTCTTGTTTTGTTGAACACGTGCACTACGCAAACAGGCATCAAGTTACTCCGTCTGCATGTGGGCGTTTATTTAGATATACAAGTTCACAATGTACAACAAATATAAGAAATGAGTGTTATTAAGAGTAAAAAGCGCACAAACACTTGACAGCAATTGAGCAGCTTTATCGTTGTTGCATTTTTAATGGACCGATATAAAGCGATTGTAACAGATCAATACACTCGGTTGTATAAGTGTTGAAGTTATTGAATTTTGTTGCTTCGGCTGGCATTAAATGGCATACAGTGCTTCAAAGACGCACAAATGTGAATAATTTTATTATATTTAAAGTGGGTGGTTAACAGCTTTCATGGAAAATACTTGARCACATACATTTATTTACAAAGTTAACATAATGCCTCACACATACGCACTCACAAGCACGCATATGTATGTATGTATGTGTTAAACGGCTTTTCTGTGAATACAAGCCTTTAATTGGCCTTTTGCAGAAATCCTTTGCACACACATCCAAGTAAGCAAAATAAATGTATAAACTACACATATGTATGTACAYGTATATGTAATTTATTGTGTCTGTGTATGCGTAAATTATTTTCTTCATTAAATACAGTCAAATTGCGCATGAAATTCACCGAATTTGTTTGCCAAACAAAAACTGCATTGCACACGTGCATTAATTTCACGCTCGATTGAATCGGCATTTAAACACSAATGGCGCGCATGTGCTTATSGGTGTGTGCGGGCTTCGTTAATATYTGGCATTGTTGGAAAAATTTGCAAGCTTAAAGTTTAAATTGCTTCAAATACTTGCGTRGTTAGCGCCATTTATTTAATTATTAATTTGCCAATAATTTTCCAATAATTTGCTAATGAGTTTTGGTTTGTTTGTATTGASTTGTTTGCACATTTGCTGCCTACATTCAGGCGCTTAAAGCTGCTAATGCAATTATGCTTTAAAATTCAGTTGTGAAAATYACAAATAATTTATTCAATTAGTACAAACAGTGTCTGATTAGTTTTTGTTGCAATTTGCGACTGSTTTTCGCAATAATTATAAGCCAAGGCGGCTAAGGCCAAGCGCATAGTGTCTGCACGAATTAAATATGCGAGTAAAACATATTTTTTGGAAACAAAAAGGTAATTAAAGACATTTTAGATTAATATAAAAGTCTTTTCGTATTTCTGATCAAATTTCAACATATTTTTTTATATTTATACTAATAAATAAATAAACAAATATGTACCTTTTACTCGATTTCTTTTTGCCATCTTTCCACTGAAGGATAGATGATAGAATAATTCGAAATTTAGAAATTTCCAGAGCGGAAGCGAGCGAACCATTGCTGTGCTACACGAACTGATACAGCATCGTCTGTCCAAAATTCACAAATTTCATTGGTGGCTTGCGTGGCATTCTTTCTTTTTATATACAATTTTTAAAATATAGCGCATTTCTGCATTATTTTCACTCATTTTTGAATACCTGTAATTTTTTTCAACTGCGCCGAATTTAATTTTTTTTAGTTAAATGAAGCTTAAAATCTCACCTTTTCAACAAATCATATAATGTGATTTGTAGCATTGCAGAAATAGGCCTGTAACGACATCTATTGACAAAATACGAAAAGTCTTTTCCGACTACCCGATAATAATAATATTAATAAATTTGCATAACTAAATTTTTATTTTAGTAATAAATCATGTTTCATTTATTTCTAAGAAGATATGTATAAAGCAGTATTTCTGTTAAGTTTTACACCATTAAAGCGCTGTCAAGATCACCTCAAATATTTATTTATGGACACTATATCCCACTTACTCATAGACTTTATTTAATAAACAGCTACATAAACATTTTTTAGATATTATCAAGWGTTAAGCRCACACGACCAAGWAKAWATGTGAAATTGGATAAGAGGATGCYTCCTTTATCGCCAAACACACCAGTTCACAAATACAAACCGTTTAAGCAGTCGCATATAATTTTTTCACTCGACGCAGCTTAGTAAGACATGTGTTAAGGCGTCGACATCTTCTCGAAAGCGGCATCCTTAAGATATTTCTTAAATATTTATTTGCAAAGCGGTTCAAGACTTAACGTAAAAAAAAAATGTACAATGCTATAGTTAATATTATTATTTTTTTTTTTTCAATTCATTTTTCCTTCCAATATTCCTTTTTAACTTACATATTCTGTTCTGTTGTTTTGCTTGTTTGTACATTTTCAATTTGGCTGCGCCACAAACATTACTCTAACCTTACTTTTACCACAAGCAATCTTTCCTGCAATTCATTGTTGCATACTTTGCGGAGGCGTCTGTTGCTTTCGTCCCTTTTCAGTCGGAGGACTAAACATTTTACAATGTGGTTATGCTTTTCAGTAGCTACAACAATAATAAGTATATTT